AAAGATTGTATGGTCTTGTCGGCCTATGTTCAGTGTACGAGTGGTTATTTTGGTCTTAGAGGCCCATATATCTTATGTATAAGTTGGTATTACATGTTGTATTCTACCTATCTCACGGCAGCCTTTCCGGCTCAGTTATCTATGATAGTATGATACGAAAAGATACATTGTGTTGGTACTCGGTTGAGTAAGGTACCGGGTACCCGTCACGACCTATTGGTTTGGGTCGTGACACATTCGATAACAAGTCCAACCATACAAGAATTACCAAATTTCGATATCAATTCGTCTTTCAAATCGTCATTTTACATTTTTGAAAGTTTTTCTCAAAATCTTTATTTTCCCCAACTCAAACCACTAATTAAAAGATAAAAATAAAGATGGAATCATGAAATATAATAAATTCCGGGTGAAAAACACTTACACCAATGATTTGCTTGAAAAACCCACGAAAACTCGCTCAAATCTGAGGTCTACAACTCAAGATATGATAAAAATGGCCAATCCCTCAATTTTGGAAAATATATTCTGCTGCCCAGGTATTTGCACACCGCGATCGCGGAAATACACATGCGATCGCAAAGAAGAAACAATGACTGCCACAAAAATGCATTACGCGATCGCGAAGAAGAAATGACACTGCCCCACGAAGAGGTACTACGCGATCGCGCACATAGTTATGCGAATGCGAAGAACAAAGTGTCGGCCTCCCCAGCAGGGTCAACACTACGCGCACGCGGAAGGCCTAAAGCGAACGCAAAGAAGCACATACGAACGTGATCGCGTACTGATCCTTGCGAACGCGAGGAGGAAAAAGGACCAGCCCACCAAACAGCCTTCGCGATCGCGGCTACAACTACGCGATCGCAGAGAAGGACACCAAACACCAGAAATGCAGCATTCCAAAACATAAAAAAATGGCTCGTAGCCCATCTGAAACACGCTCGGGGCCTCTGGGACCCCGTTCAAACATACCAACTAGTTTCATAACATAACGCGGACCTACTCGAAGTCTCAAATCACATCAACCAACGTCGAAACTACGAATCGCATCTCGAATCGAACTTATAAACTTTCAAATCTTCCAACTTCCAAAACTCGTGCCGAAACATATCAAATCAACCCAGAATGAAGTCGAATTTTGCATGCAAGTCCCAAGTGACATAACAGAGCTAATCCAACTCTCAAAATCACATTTCGACTCCGATACCACCAAAGTCAACTCTCGGTCAAACCTCTCAACTTTCCAAAACTTCAACTTTCGAATTTTCGCAGAAATGCTTCAAATTACCATGCGGACCTTCAAATCCAAATTCGAGCGCACGCCTAAGTCCAAAATTACCATACGAAGCTGTTAGAACCATCAAAATACCATTTCTGAGTCATCTACATAAAAGTCAAAAATCCAGTCAACTCTTACCGCTTAAGCTTCTAAAACATGAATCTTTTTTCCAAATTGATCCCGAACCATCCAAAAACTGAACTCGGTAATACACGCAAGTCATAACACATAATACGAAGTTGCTCGAGACCTTACGCCACCGAATAAGACGTGAATTCTCAAAACGACCGATCAGGTCGTTACAAGCTGAAACCGAACAATAGTCATACAACCCCAAAACCGGTAGTACAAAGTCATAAGCTCTACTGAAACACACTACAAATATATGAATATATCACTGTTCTGGAATTCAAATGACAGTATTAATGAAAGACAACAGAAGGTGACTCCGACGCTTGCGAGCGGAATGACAGGTATACCTTAAAGTCTCCTCAGCAACTCAAACAGCTATCTAACGTTCGGCACGCTCCGAGGTACCTAGATTTGCATAAAAATATGAAGAAGCATAATGAGTACACCGCAACGGTACCCAGTATGTATCAAGACTAACCTCGATGGAGTAGTTATGAGGTACAAGTCAAGACACTCATTAGACATAAAAAGCTAACAATAGAAAGAATATTAATGTAAATCTAACAATAGAAAGAATATTAATATAAATCTAACAATAGAAAGAATACTAATATAAAAGAACTCAGATAGTTAGTAGTTTCATACCCAACTTCACACATTTTCTAATCAAAAAGCCAATTCATTTATGAAATTTCTTAGTGTAGGTAATGAAATAAGATTCCAGTGTTCAAACCCAAAACTTAGTACACTATGAAAAGACAGTTTCAGCTTTTTCTTTCACTTGCACTCTAGAACACCATTTCAAGCAGAATTCTACCTAGACTTGAGCTAATGTCATATATATAAATCTTGGGTTCTAACTAAGCAAATCACCTAAAGCATAATGAGTATAATGAAACATAGGTTTTCAAACACCATGCTCATTCCCTTATAAAAAATTTAAGACACTACTACAAGCTCCTTTAAATTGTGAAATAGACATCTCCAGGTCTCAAAATTTTCAATAATCTAGCATATGTTGATCAGGATAACTTGGAATTATTCATTCTAACAGATTGAATAACAACTTTGAATATTATTAGAACGTAAATAAACAACCTTATCTACTTGATCAAATAACAAACCCTATTATATTAGTTCCCGTGACATCAAAATCTTAATGAATATTTCAGCACTTAGTTTAGTACTACTTACAGTATTTTTTTTCTACCATTTGAGCTAAAGTTTGGAGATTCCTGCAATAGGGGAAAAAAAGAAAAGAAAAAAGAAAACCACTAATTAGGCCCCTCAAAATTAAAAGATGATCTAAAATTGAGTCGGTCATGATATCATTGCAAGCTTTATCTTCTGTATAAAATGAGAGACTTTATGTAGACATTTCTGCACCTAAATATTAGCAAGAATGCAATATTTGAAGGCTCATTACAGTTCTAGTATTGGAAGAAAAATAAATATGTAAATGTGTCAATAAAGAAAAACATAAATCTACAACTTAGACATTCGTATGTATAAAAAGCCATAAACAACAGCCCATGAGCACTAGTAAGAAGTAATGTCCAACATCCATGAGGCGTCAAATTTATTGGCAAATGAAATAAGGTACAACAATACCTGAAATTCAATATGCATAGGATCTTGGACGTACTTCTCCAAATAAATGCCATCATTTACTAATGCAATTGTTGCCTCACTGTTACCTTAATGTATAGTGAAAAGTAAACCAAAGTAAATCGGGTAATAGTGTGTGACTACAAAGCAAGAAAAAAGACTTGCAAAAGGATATTGCTTCAATTTATAAAAGAGTAAGTGATTACCATATACAAATGTCTTTTATATAATTAACTCAAACAGATATCTTACTGTAACTTGGAACATGTCTTAAAGGAAGTTCTTCAAGAAAACAAGTCCGATTTTATAAAACTTTCTTAATAGTGTCATGAAGATTCACAAACAAGCCAGTTGATAGATTTCTTCAAAGAGCTCATAAATAATTAAATCAGAGCTTTTCGCAGGAAATCAGTTTAGAACTAAGTAATAAAAGTGAAATGGACAAATTAATAAGACCATAGTCATCAACAGTGGCACAGAAAGATAACTGAAGAAAGCATCAGAAGCTGGGAGCTAGGACATAGATTGTAAGAAGTGGAGAAGACTAAAATTTAATAGCTGAGCCATACTATCATATTCCTTTACAACACAGTAAGTTTTGAAACTTCTTCCTCATAAACGACAACTACTAAACCCTATCATTGCTATATCTACCAGATTAATTGTTAAGTTGATGCTTGTTTGTGCAATGCATAAATATTTATCTCTTCCAGTTGATATACAAATGAGAGAAGGCAATCTTAATTCAAACAAAATTCGAGGAACTATTTTCCTATACAGAATAAAATCATTACTCACTTTAAGAAAGCAGAATAGCACCATCTTATTATCCAAATCCAAACAACATCTTCTTTTACATGCAATCTACCAAAAGTAAGTCATTGCAGATGCCACAAAAATACTATTATAAGGTATACAAGATATTTCTTTTAAATATTCTCACACCGTATATAAAATTGGCTAACCAGGATGATCAATAAATAAATATTAATCAAAAGTAACTAAATACATTAAGTGGTTTCTTTCAAAAACTAATACCAGTAAGATATTTGAAAGTTCATGTTACAATGTTAAGCACCATTATTAGTTTAAACAATCATTATTATCGAAGTGGAATCTTCCCGATTCTAAAAATTATATTTTTATGTTTTGATCATACGTATGACTAGACAAAAAGATCAATAAAATAAGTTTTAAAAAAATAAATTATCATGCTGATATACAATTAGCCTTTTCAGTCAATTGCGTCTATATTTGTTTGGGACACTCAAAGGTGTTTATTGTGAAATATTTTCAAACATCTTCTGAGCACAGATATTCTAACATTGTTTAAAGCACATACGACACAGATTTCCCCTAAAAATTCTAGAATATTCAATTCAACGGGCTACTAATATTTTACCCCTGGGTATTGCCATTAATTAAGCCTTGAAACTATAACCAATTACTCTACAACTTCGGTATATTAAAACAGCTCAAACTGTAGTAGCAAAGCAGAAATAATACAATAAATTCTAAAAGCTCAAGAGTGAACTTCAATCAAGCATACAAACTTGCAAATAAAGTGTATGACTTCGCTTGGAGTATATATCGGGAAACCCTAATAAGATGATATACTTGGATTCTTCTTTTCACCCACACAATTAGGGTACCAAATTAGATAAAATTGCGGGGNAAACAAGATTGATAACTTACCCAAGCACAAAGAACTTTGTGGTCTCACATCAACTAGTAAGAATACATAGGAGCCAAATGCTAAATCTTTGTCTATATCGTTAAATTACTTACCCTAGGGTATGCATGAGCTAGAAGATATATACTGGAGAAGCAATTTGGTAGCCTTTGCTGGAGCCTTGACGGATTGCCTTGTGACTCGCCGAAGGGGTTAGGGTTCGAAGGGTCGAGGATATTTAAGAGACGATTTAGAGTAATAAGGAAAAAGGGCTAGGCGCGGGGGAAAAACAGAAGGTAAAATCGAGTTTAATAAAATTAAAAGAGGGAAAATATTCAGTGAAACCGTCGCAATAATCAAATATTCAAAATAATTGTCGCCACAGATGAATCTATTAGAACGGTAATTGTGTCGTTGTCGTAGATTCATCTATTGCAACGGTTATTGTAATATTGTAACGGTTTATTCTTGAAACTGTCCCAATAGGGTGGAAAGGCTTATGCAACGGTTATAATCGTTTCCCTAGATTGTCTATTGCAATGGTTATACAGTCGTTGCTATAGAATCCGTTACAGTAGGCTTATTTTCTGGTAGTGGACAGTCAAAATAATCAAGTCGTTCTAACACAAGGTTTACAACTAGAATCACCCTGAGGTACCACACCTCATAATCGCAAATCACAAGTTACAAATCACGAATTTTACTTATAGCGCAGCGTGAGACTTACATTTATTTTAAAAAGATATGTTGAAAAAGATGTTGATTGACAACCAGCAACTTCGAACAGATAATCAGCCTCAAAATCCACCTCAACAGGTAAAAGAAAGAACTAATGATATGTTGAAAAAGATGTTGATTGACAACCAACAACACGAATAGATAATCAGCAATTGAGGACTAAATTTTGAAATATAGAGAGAGACAGATTAGGTAGTTAGCTGCACAACAAAATACTCGACCTGCAGGGGCCCTTCTCGATGATACAGATAGAATCCTCAAGTAAATGCTATAACTTTGAGGAATGGCAAAGAATCAGAAGAAGTACCAAAAACGAAAGAAAGAACAAGTCACTCCGAAGGGTGAACTGATCCCCAAAACTGTGGTGGAAAATGAGAAAGAAACTGAAGAAAGTAAAAAGACTCCGATTACAAGGCCACCACCTCCTTTCCCACAAAGATTGAAGAAGAAAAGTGATGACAAGATGTTCAACAAATTTCTTGATATGCTGAGCCAAATTCAATTGAACCTCTCATTGCTTGATGTGTTACGTGAAATCCCAAAATATGCCAAGTACATCAAAGATATTGTGGCTAACAAAAGGAGGTTGACAGAGTTTGAGACTGTGGCACTTACTGAAGAGTGAAGCTCAAGAATTCAAAGAAAGTTGCCGCAAAAGTTGAAGGATCCGGGGAGCTTCACCATACCTGTTCGAATTGGTGAGGTGGATGTGGGGCGAGCACTCTGTGATTTAGGGGCTAGCATAAATTTGATGCCTCTCTCAGTTTTCAGTCAATTGGGGTTGGGAGCTCCAAGGCCAACCATAGTCATATTGCAGCTTGCTGATAGATCTATTGTCCATCCCGAGGGGGTGATAGAAGATGTGCTACTACAAATTGGGCAGTTTATTCTGCCAGCAGATTTCATTATACTGGATTATGAAGATAATGAACACATCCCCATCATCTTGGGACGACCTCTCTTAGCCACTATTGATGCTGTGATCAAAGTTCGTGAAGGAAAATTGATTCTCTGAGTTGATAATATGGAAGCAGTCTTTGATGTGTACAAGGCAATTCAGCTGCCAAGTCACTATAAGGATCTAGCTATGATATCTGTGATTAAAAAAGAAGAAGAAAAAAAATGATGTGGGTGCATATCTAGGGAAAGCACTTATGTTGTTTGGCGGCATTGATTTGGATAACGAGGTGTAAGGAGATGGTGAATCATCTGGATGCATGTGCTAACATCAAAGGACTAATCGATTTTGAGCCTCTAGATAGACCAACTGGGCCACCTCCTAATATGTCTATCGAAGAAGCTCCTAAATTGGAACTCAAGCCCTTACCCTCCCTTCTTCGTTACGCCTATTTGGGTGTTGATGAAACTTTACCTGTTGTTGTATCTTCTGAGTTATCTATTTTGAAAGAAGAAAAGCTACTTCGTGTGCTTAAAGAGGACAAACGGGCGATTGGTTGGACCATGGCTGGCATTCGTGGTATTAGCCTAGCATTTTGTATGCATAAAATTCTCAAGGAGGATGGTCACAAACCGAGTGTGGAATACCAACGCCGCTTGAATTCAGTCATGAAGGAAGTGGTAAAAAAGGAAGTCATAAAGTGGCTCGATGCAGATATTATCTTTCCCATCTCTGATAGCAAGTGGGTAAGTCCAGTATAATGTGTGCCTAAAAAGGGTGGAATGACGGTAGTCATAAATGATAATAATGAATTAATCCCTATGAGGACTGTCACCGGTTGGAGAATTTGCATTGCCTACCGGAAACTGAATAATGCTACTAGAAATTATCACTTCCCCCTTCCTTTTATTGATCAGATGTTAGATAGGGTGGCCGGACAAGACTACTATTATCTCCTTGACGGATATTCCGGCTATAACCAAATCTCAACTGCACCATAGGACCAAAAGAAGACTACCTTCACTTGTCCTAATGGTACTTATACTTTTAAGCAAATGCCATTTGGGTTGTGCAACGCACCTGCGACTTTTTAAAGGTGCATGATGGAAATCTTCACTGATATGGTAGAAAACATTATTGAAGTATTTATGGATGATTTTTCGGTCTTCAGACCATCTTTTGATGAATGCATAACGAATTTGAGTAAAGTGTTTGCCATGTGTGAAGAGACGAATCTAGTACTGAATTGGAAGAAGTGCCATTTTATGGTAAGAGAAGGGATTGTACTTAGGCACAAGGTGTCCAAAGATGGGTTGGAGGTGGATAAGGCAAAAATGGATGCAATTGAAAAATGCCGCCCCCAGTCTCTGTCAAAGGAGTCAGAAACGTTTTGGGACATGTAGGTTTCTATCGTAGATTCATTAAAGATTTCTCTAAGATTTTTGCTCCCTTGTGCAAGTTGCTTGAGAAGGATACGCCTTTCAAGTTTGATGAACGCTGCTTGAAGGCATATGAGGATTTGAAAAAGAGATTGGTGACTACACCAATTATCACCGCCCCAGACTGGGGGGAGTCTTTTGAGTTGATGTAAGATGTCAGTGACACGGCAATTAGAGTCGTATTGGGCCAGAGAAAAAATAAAGTGTTCTACTCAATTTACTACACTAGGAAAACTCTAAATCCAGCCCAGATAAATTACACAGTCACAGAAAAAGAGTTGCTAGCGGTAGTATGGGCGTTTGACAAATTTAGGGCCTACTTGGTGGGAACTAAAGTCATCTTCTACACAGACCATGCAGCCATCAGGTATTTGTTTGAGAAAAAGGATGCTAAGCCTAGACTAATTCATCGAGTTCTTCTCTTGCAGGAATTTGACATGGAAATCAAAGATCGAAAAGAGACAGAAAATCAGGTGGCGGACCATTTGTCGCGCTTGGAAACTCGCACACATGTTGAGGAAGGGGGCAAAATTAAGGAAAGCTTTCCTTATGAGAAATTGCTAGCCATCACAGCTGGCACAACCCCATGGTATGCTGACTGCGTGAACCTCATTGTAAGTGGGGTGACTCCATCGAAGTTATCTCCAGATGGTAAGAGAAAATTCATGCATGATGTTAGGCTTTATCAATGGGATGAGCCATTTTTGTTAAAGCAAATGTGCAGACCAGCTGGTGTGCCGATTTGTTCCTGAGGAGGAGATGGAAGCAATTTTATATGATTTCAATGCATCACCATATGGAGGGCACCATGGTGGAGACAAAACGGCTGCAAAGGTATTGCAGTCGGGATTTTATTTGTTACATCCCGTGCTTTTTTACGTTGGATTTGTCATAAGATAATTGACATAAGTTCAATGACAAGACTATTTTTGAGGTTATAAGTGCTTATGATATTTATATCAAGTGATAAGTAAGTGTTGTAAAGGTCATAGGGGAAATTGTAGGCTGCCACATGGCATGAAGTTGGCCAAGAGTGGCACTAATATGCACATGAGTCATAGCACTTAAAGTACATGGTTTACACGTGTAAAGTTTGGTGATGAGTCATTAGGTGTGCAACTAGAGGATTACACGTGTATAATGGAAAGTAAGTCTTTAATGTTAGTAGTATAACATCCCATGCTTTAGTACTAGGGTGAGTCGTAGTAATCCATATGAGCTTAAAAGGGATTAAGGTCATTCATGAGCTTATAGAGGATTTGTGACAATATTATTGTAAGACCCCGTAAGTTTAACAACCTTGATACTGCTAGATATATTTTGATATGGTACCATGATCTTTTTTTAATATTTTTATAGTAGTACGTTTGGATGAGGATATGTGGACAATTACAAGGTGACTAGGGTGTCACCACGTGGCTACATAGTAAGGAGCAACAAGTGACTAATACAAGTTATCATGGAGGTGGCATCTTTATAGCTAATTAGGAAATTGTGGATAAGTATTGCTAATAGTAGAACTAGATAAAGATTAGGTAGAATAAAGGGGTGGATACGTGTACAAATTAGGTGAGGTTATGGAATGGGTGTCTAATTTTATTAGATGACCATGTGTCATAAATTAAGGAAAGAGTGGAGGGGGAAGGATCACATGTATAGTTATGGGAGACAATATCTAGTGACTAAGCACTACTAGAGGTAAAGGTGGCATTCCTATAAATGGTGACTCTTGGTTTATGTGGCTAGGTGGCATCTTTAGGAAATTTTTGAGCATAATTAAGCCACAAAAGCGAGGCCCATAACCCACAATTATAAGAGATCTTCCTACATTATTAAGTGAGATGTATTTACATAGCTAGCAACGAAAAGGCTCCCACTTTGTTTACGATATTCCACAATGTTTTCTAGTCTTTTTAAGGAGTGTTTGGTTCTTGTTGAAAATTAAAAAGGAGCAAAAATTGTTCTTGGAAAGCTCAAGTGAAAGTAGTTGATAATTTCATCAAGTAAGGTATGTTAAGGCTATCCCTTTTTTCTTTTTGGCATGATCCATATGATACAAACGAAACGAGCAAATGCACAACTTTCATAAATGACTCTATTCATAGACGTACTAGGAGTGCCTATGTTCTTGATTCCCCATATATCCTACTATCATATCGTCCATTCATGGGTCTCATGACATTTCAAGAGATCGTA